ATAAAGGTAGAGCCATTCAGAGAAAACCCGAGACACATAGTGCAATGCAAGAAATGCTATGCATTTGACCACTCGAAACAGTCTTGCTACGGCAGACAAGAAGAATCACAGATCAAAATCAATACACCCGAGGGCACTACGACGATGGTCTGCAAAAACTGTAAGAAAGAAGGACACAGCGCGAACAACGCTACCTGCCCGATATTTCGAAAAATGATATCCAAACAAATGGAACAAGCGAAAGCCAAACAGACTAAACAAGAAGAGAGAATCAGACGTGCGACAGTCAGACCTGGAGTCAGATATGCGGACGTCTCAAGCAAAAGACAATTCCCCGCCTTGCCACAGAAGGAGCCGACAGTATCACAGGGGGGAGCAGGCAATGTTACCACCGATGAACGAAACAACCATAGAAAGCCTCCACCTAAGACTGGAGCGAACGGAAAAACTACTAATGAAGCTCATAGAAACCATGAATAACACACAACGACAGACCAATGGCTAATCACGACCAAAAAAGAATACAGAACCTCAAAATCCTACACCTAAATGCACAAGGACTGAGAAAGAAATTCATTGAAGTAAAAAAAGCTGGCAGAAAAATACAGGCCAGCCATAATAGTGATAAACGAATGCAAAATCGACTTCGACAAGGAGAAGTTTAACATGAAAGGATACGATAAAATCACACACTCGCTTAAAACCCACTTAACCACAGCCATGTACATATAAAGGGGGCTAAGATGGACCGAAACAGAGGTCACACCGGGGTGGGGAGAGGAGAGAAGAAAAATTGAAGGCGTGGGCATCAAACTGTTCACAGACCACGCGACTGGACAATACATAAAAATAAAAGGGACCTACTTTCAAATCCCAAATCAACACCAAGCCAGAGAAGAGCTTGAAGAAACCTTGGCTGACGAACCAACGATCATAATAGGAGATCTGAATCTACAGATGCGCGCCCTGAACCAAAGAAGAGACGCAGGCCTAGGCATTGTAATCAGGAAAGCAATAAACGACGGAATCTGCTCGCTAAAAAACGCCGGCGCGCCATCGAGGCCGGCCAACCAAGGCAACGCAATCCTGGACATAGCCGTAATAACACACCAACAGATCGAGGCACAAGCCAAGCAGTTAGAAAGCGTTGGATCAGACCATCTACCATGGCTACTCACTGTAAAAATCGAACACAACATAGAGGTAAACAAATCTCGCAACACAAGGAGGATACGCGAGGACGAGGGGGGCGATGAAAGCATACCAATAAACCATGTGGGAAGGCTTCCGCTACCTACACGGGGAAATAATTACGGAGGAAGACTGCGAAAGATACGTCGAAACCATGGAGAAATCCATTACAGCAGCCCTCGACGAACACGCACCTTTCAGAACAACAACGAGACGAGAACATCTACCACCGGAAATTAATGAAAAGATAGACTTCAGAAACAAGCTGAAACAAATTAAATGGCAGGCAAGGCACGGCAGCCTCAACCTACAACGAGAGGCACGTGCCCTCTACAACAAAGCCAAAAAAGAAGCAGACCAAGCACTGAGAGAATATACCGAGAAGGGCTGGCTGGATAAGATCCAGGATCCGAATGACAATAGGTCGCAAATGTGGCGCATCCAACGCAACATGAAGAAACCAATCATGAGACTACCAAACATAACGGGCTGCAAAACGGAAAAAGAGACGATCGACTCACTGACTGAGGCAGCAACAGTAAAAGAGGCAGTAATTGCGACGGAAGATGAGGGCACAGAGAAAACGACCCCGTTCCAGCCACTCGACCCAACATCAAAACACGAAGTCAAATTAGCACTGAGCAGGTTCAAAAACAAAAAGGCTCCCGGCCAGATGGAATCAAGGCAGACGCCCTCAAACTCGGGGGAGAAGTCTTCACCGAGGCATTTGTGCCTCTCGCTAACTTTATATTGTCCACAGGCTACTTCCCTAAGAGATGGAAAACCGGCGTGTGCATCTTCCTGCACAAAGCTGGCAAAGATCATCGCCAGGCACTATCGTACCGCCCGATTACACTGCTCAACATAATGGGCAAACTGTGCGAGCGACTGATCCTGAGACGACTCACCGTCACCGTGGACCGGCTGCAACCACCGTTCCAACACGGCTTCACAATGGCCAGAGGCACAGCGACCCAGATCCTTCGCACCGGTAAAATAATCACAGATGCCTTGGCCAACGGCGACAGCGTCTCCATGATATCAACAGATCTCTCGAAAGCCTTTGACTCGATTAACCACAAAGGCTTGATCAAAAAGCTACAAGACAAAAACGTACCCACTAACATCACAAAAATTATGGAAAACTACCTTGCAGGCAGACAACTGAAAGGCAGGTTTAGAACAACTGAAACAGAGGAGAAACCTATACTCCATGGCGTGCCTCAAGGATCGATCCTGGGACCGGTGATTTTCAACCTGTATGTCCATGACATCTGGGACATACATGACAGAATTAAGGGGCTCAAACTCTCACAGTACGCAGATGACCTCTGCATTCTCAACAGAGCCACAAACCCAGACCATGCAACCATGCGATCGGAATGGGCAGCAGAAACTATTATTAACTACTATACTAGATGGGGGCTCAAATGCAACATAGAGAAAACCGAGTGCATTATGCTCTCAAAGAAAAGTAAATACCGCCCAGCGGTAAAATTAAAACAACAGATGCTACCATACCAAAACCAGATCAAATACCTCGGCGTGGTCTTCGATAAACGCATGAGAATGAATCAACACACCGAAAAGGTAGTGAAGAAACTGAAACGGGTCAGAGGAGCCCTTGGCCCGATAATTGGATACTACGCAAAAACAGATCTAGAAACCAAACTGGCCATAATACAGGCCTGCATTCTGCCACTGCTGGACTACGGAGTGGTCCAACTGCTATCGAGGTACAGCGCGACGAACCTGAGTAAAATCGAAAGACAATACAGAATGGCACTCAAGAGTGCTGCCCAACTACCGAAAAGAATATCCACAGAGATACTATGAGAGATGGCTGACATAAAAGCCTGGCACCTACGTGCCGAGGACATAAATCAGAAGATGTTGGACAACATTGCCCAACTGGAAATAGAAGACCTAGAATCCCCCGGTGACGCATACCTGGCGCACGGAGAATTCAATCCCCTCAGGACCAGCCATAGAATAGGTGAAATTGTATATGATCCCAAAAAGAAAAATTACAAGCGATGGCCCACCGATAACACGGGAGCCCCGCGCCCTCTTAGGATAAGGTAATTAAGGCTAGCAAATAAGTACACAAAAACAAATGAAATACATAATAATTTTATTGTATAAACTTTATTATGAATAAGCAAAACACAGCAAACACAGATCCACCTAGGACATAAGTTAGCTGACTCACCCTCACACGATTCACCGGCCGTGAGGATGCAAATGTAAATACACAAGTAGGCAAATAAATATTTTCTGATTCTGATTCTGATTCTGATTGATTAAGGGGTAAATTGGAATTCCTAAATAGGGTTCTCAAAATTCAAAACCTAAATAAAGTAGGTACCCAGCCAGTAAATTAAAGTAAATTCCATTTCGGTATTTTATGAATAACGTAATTTACACTTTTATATAAACTGTTAAATATGTTCTTTAATAGTCGCTTAAATAAATATAATTTAATGTAGATTTCAACAAACATTATTTACATCATACAAGGCATTAAAAACCGCATTGTTTTATTTTGGCCATAGACTATTATTTGCCTCGGGCACGAATCTGAGTCCAAACAATTTTTTATAGCTTGCCTTTTTTACCTATTTTTGCTTTTATCCTCATTCAGATAGGCTATAAAATACAGATAGTAGAACTATTTTTGATCAAAAACTATATGAACTGTGCATAAACTATGTTTTTTATTTTTCAGAATACCACGCAACTACGTCCCAAAACCAGGTGCTAAACGCTACAAAAAATACGATGATCAAGTAATAAAACAAGCCCTAGACGAGATAACTTTGACCAATAATAGCCTAAGTGCTGTAGCTGAAAAATATAAAATAGCAAAATCGGTACTATGCCGTCATAAAAACCGAGAAGTGAAACCTCACGGTAGGCCAATAGCAGTAACCAAAGATGAAGAGCTATATTTAGTAGAACATTTAAATATTTGCGGCGATTGGGGTTACCCATAAGATACAACAGACCTTAGATATATAATAAAAATGTATCTAGACTCAATGAATATTAGGCACAAAATATTCAAAAATAACATGCCCGGTATAGACTATGTTAATGGGTCATGAAAAGACATGCAAATAAATTATCCAAAAGAATATGTCAGAATATTAAAAGAGCTAGGGCGGCAGTGTCTTCAGACATAATAAAAAAATATTTTGGCGAATTGGCAAAGTCTTTGGAGAATGTCCCGACCAAAAATATAATCAATTATGATGAGACGAACCTGACAGATGATGCTGGTCGCAAGAAGGTGATAGTAAGACGAGGATGCAGGTATCCAGAGCGTGTAGTCAATCACTCTAAAGGGTCAATATCTTTGATGATGTCAGCCACAGCAGATGGTATTTTCCTGCCGCCTTATGTCGTCTATGAGGCAGCTCATTTATACGATATGATGGGGGGCCTCATAATGCAAGATTTAACAGGTCTTCATCCGGCTGGTTCGATGGTGACATTTTTGAAGATTGGGTTAAAACAATAGTTATACCAATTTGGGAAAAGAAAGAGGGTAAGAAAATTTTGATAGGAGACAATTTGTCCTCACATTTGTCTGTTGATGTTATAAAACTATGCCAGGAAAAAGATATTCACTTTATTTTTCTGCCCGCGAATTCGACGCACCTTACACAGCCCCTAGACGTTGCAGTTTTTAAAGACCCATGAAGATAATTTGGCCTCACTTATTAAACAAGTGGAGAAAAACTGACGATGGGAAAACCCAATCATGTGTTCCAAATAGTTGTTTTCCATTTCTGTTTTAAATGCTAATGGATGAGCTAAGTGTGAATGCTGAAAAAAATATTAAAGCCGGGTTTAGAAAATGTAGGATTGTCCCATTAGATGCTAACCAAGTTCTAACAAGGCTTCCTCTGCAAGAAGAGGACGAAGCAGTAAAGAAAAAAGCTATGAATGATAGTGTTTTAACATTCTTAAAAGAAATGCGCTATGGACCCATGAATATTAGAGAACCCCAAAAGAAGAGAAAATTGGAGGTAGTGGCAGGAAGAAGTGTAAATGCTGAGGAATTAGAAAGGAATGAAGATCAGGAACCTTTGAAACCAAAAAAGAAAAGACCACTAAAGCAAACAAATAAATCAACTCCTAAAGTGAAGGGTATGGGCAAAAAAACAAAATCGAAAATTTGCAACTTACAGATAGACAACGGCAAAGAGATAAATGACGATAATATATTTGAGGTACCGGTTTGATTACACGATCCTGATGTAGTGATTCCTGAACCTTTTGATTTTTCCATTGAAGAAATGCCAATAAGTTTTTGCTGAAAATTTCGATTGCCAGGAAATTGATTTGTATATATATATATATATATATATATATATATATATATATATATATGTGTGTGTATATATTAACCAACTTATCCCGTGTCATACTGAAAAGTTAATGAATTTTTAGTTTTTCTGTAAAGAAGCTTTAAGTAGGAGCCCGAAGTTAGGAAATTAGTGTTTCCTTCCCACGGCTCGCAAAGCACATCAAGTCGTTGGTCCTGCTCCTAATCTCTCTCTAGATGTGTCGGATATCCGTTCCATTGGGCGATGAGGATTAGGGAATAGAGAGTAAATATGTACTTGCACTTGTGCACTATAATCTCGTCCTCCACAAATGGCTTGTATTTGTTTAGAATGGCTGCAGTGACCAAAATTCGGCCTGGAGGACATTATTATTATAATGTCTTCCAGAACGTTTTGCTTCCATTGTTTTATCGAGGACCTTATTTAAAGATTTATTTTTTTTATTTATATCATCATTACAGCTCTGTTAACCAATGCGATGCTATAACTAACCTATATCTAAGAAAATTACGAACTAATAAATAATAATATCTATTTTCAACGCCCTTGTGTGCTGCAATTACGAATTTAATCTGACGGCATGTAAATATGTCAAATATATCCTGTGTGATAATATGAACATACGTAACAATGGTGCATTCTGAAACAAATTCGTCCTAGCACCGGCCGCGAGGAGTAACGGGTGATGGCGACGAGTACACACGAAATTTACACGCAGCTTTAGCGCAGTGAACACATCTGAATACATCATTCACCCATAATAACCCATTAACCCATAAGACGCCGGCAAATTATTGCACTTAGTTAAAGTGCAATAATTTGCCGGCGTCTATTTTTCCGTCTGAATACCATCTGGACGTCTTCAAAGCAAAAGTGAGTGGCTTTTGTAACGCTAAGACAGTGCGATTTACCATCTAGGGTTACATCACCACTTACCACCAGGTGGAATCGTTAAAGCACTAGCTTATAATAAATATTATTATTTATATTGAAACAAGTAGTAAAATTAAAAAAATTGTATAAACAACTTCAACATAAATAAAATGAGAACATCATCTATGTATTCGAAGTCAGTTAAATACGCACTATTGAGGAGAACCGTAAAACGGGGTAAATTGGTCCAATCTTCACTTTCAACTTTAATTTAAACCATCTTCCGTAACGCTTAGGGTATTTTAAGGTATACTTAAGGATGCATGGTAAGCTCTTTTAGATGTTAGGTATAGCTTTAGATTCGCATATTATTGTGATATTTTGAGAAATTCAACAAAAAACCCTATTGGATTCCAATTTACCCCTGACGGGGATAAGAGGTTTAAGAGAGAGGTTAATAGGAATTTTAACTAGGGCTGTCACTCCATCTATCCAAAGTAAGTAAATAGGTAGGTAGATAGGCACCTAACTAATTTGAATTAAAAAAACCTTTTTTTAATGTGTTTAAAAATCGTTTATTAGGTGCCTAACAAGAAAAATATTACATTGAGCTTGCATTGCTTGCTATTCGTATATATTTATAGTCTCCACTTTGAATTCACTTGCAGGTAAGTAACAAACTATTAAACGTTTAGCTTAGTAGGTATCAAATATTTTAATAAAAAAATAATCTGGTAGGTAACAAAAAAATAAAATATTGTCCTTTCAAATCAAAGTAAAAATTATTTTGAGTTGCAGTAATCACTTCCAGTTTGGGTAATAAAATTATTCTTCTAAAATTTTCAAAATTGATTCCTCGTCTTTGTAAAAATTCAGACTTTCTCTCTCTCTTTGGACGGGTTGACTTACTTTTTCCGCTATTGTGTAAGGTAGAATTACTGTTTATCCTCTTCATAGGCAATGGCAATTTAAGTTTTATATCCGATATAATTTGAATTTTAGGCTTCTGTGTGTTTTTTGTTTCAAGGTTTTCGTTTTCTTTGTCATAATCTTGTTTACTCGTGTTTTGGTTCTTTTGGTCTTCATCAACAGTTCTCAAACCAATTTCCTGGAAACCAATGACCCAATGGAACGGATATCCGACACATCTACAGAGAGATTAGGCGCAGGACCAACGACTTGACGTGCTTTGCGAGCCGTGGGAAGGAAATACTAATTTCCTAACTTCGGGCTCCTACTTAAAGCTTCTTTACAGAAAAACTAAAAATTAATTAATTTTTCAGCATGACTCGGGATAAGTTGGTTAATATATATATATATATATATATATATATATATATATATATATATATATATATATATATATATATATATATATATATATATATATATATATATATATATATATATGTATATATATATGTGTATATATATACAGTTAGGAAATTAGTATTATTATGTATATATATTATATATATTATACACATATATATATATATATAAATATAAATATAAATATATATATATATATATATATATATATATATATATATATATATATATATATATATTAACCAACTTATCCCGAGTCATGCTGAAAAATTAATTAATTTTTAGTTTTTCTGTAAAGAAGCTTTAAGTAGGAGCCCGAAGTTAGGAAATTAGTATTTCCTTCCCACGGCTCGCAAAGCACGTCAAGTCGTTGGTCCTGCGCCTAATCTCTCTCTAGATGTGTCGGATATCCGTTCCATTGGGTCATTGGTTTCCAGGAAATTGATTTGAGAACTGTTGATGAAGACCAAAAGAACCAAAACACAAGTAAACAAGATTATGACAAAGAAAACGAAAACCTTGAAACAAAAAACACACAGAAGCCTAAAATTCAAATTATATCGGATATAAAACTTAAATTGCCATTGCCTATGAAGAGGATAAACAGTAATTCTACCTTACACAATAGCGGAAAAAGTAAGTCAACCCGTCCAAAGAGAGAGAGAAGTCTGAATTTTTACAAAGACGAGGAATCAATTTTGAAAATTTTAGAAGAATAATTTTACTACCCAAACTGGAACTGATTACTGCAACTCAAAATAATTTTTACTTTGATTTGAAAGGACAATATTTTATTTTTTTTGTTACCTACCAGATTATTTTTTATTAAAATATTTGATACCTACTAAGCTAAACGTTTAATAGTTTGTTACCTACCTGGTGGAGACTATAAATATAACGAAAGCAAGCAAGCAAGCCGTAATATTTTTCTTTTAGACCCAAAAAAAGATTAAAAACATAAAAAAAAATTTTTTTAATTGGGACCTTTTTTTTTGAGAGGAAAGGAAACACCCCAACACCCTCCCCCCCCCCCCCCCCCCCCCCGGCAGGAAAAAATAAAAAAATTGTTTTTTTTTTAAAAAAAAAAAAAAAAAAAAAAAAAAAAAAAAACAAACACACCAAAAAAAAAAAACACTAAAAAAGAATAAAAAAAAAAAATAAGAGAAAAAGATAAACCCCCCCCCCCCCTCTCTTCTACTTTATTTATTTTAAAAAAATAAAAAAAAAAAAATAAAATTTTTTTTTTTTTATTTTTATTTATTTATAACGATTCCACCTGGTGGTAAGTGGTGATGTAACTCTAGATGGTAAATCGCACTGTCTTAGCGTTACAAAAGCTACTCACTTTTGCTTTGAAGACGTCCAGATGGTATTCAGACGGAAAAATAGACGCCGGAAAATTATTGCACTTAGTTATTAATGGGTTATTATGGGTGAATACATCACCCAGATGTGTTCACTGCGCTAAAGCGCACCTCGTCGCCATCACCACCCCCCCGGTGCTAGATTGTTTCAGATTGCACCATTGTTACGTATGTTCATATTATCACACAGGATATATTTGACATATTTACATGCCGTAGATTAAATTCGTAATTGCAGCACACAAGGGCGTTGAAAATAGATATTATTATTTATTAGTTCGTAATTTTCTTAGATATAGGTTAGTTATAGCATCGCATTGGTTAACAGAGCTGTAATGATGATATAAATAAAAAAATAAATCTTTAAATAAGGTCATCGATAAAACAATGGCAGCAAAACGTTCTGGAAGACATTATAATAATAATGTCCTCCAGGCCGAATTTTGGTCACTGCAGCCATTCTAAACAAATACAAGCCATTTGTGGAGGACGAGATTATAGTGCACAAGTGCAAGTACATATTTACTCTCTATTCCCTAATTCTCATCGCCCAATGGAACGGATATCCGACACATCTAGAGAGAGATTAGGAGCAGGACCAACGACTTGATGTGCTTTGCGAGCCGTGGGAAGGAAACACTAATTTCCTAACTTCGGGCTCCTACTTAAAGCTTCTTTACAGAAAAACTAAAAATTAATTAACTTATCAGTATGACACGGGATAAGTTGTTTAATATATACACACACATATATATATATATATATATATACAAATCAATTTCCTGGCAATCGAAATTTTCAGCAAAAACTTATTGGCATTTCTTCAATGGAAAAATCAAAAGGTTCAGGAATCACTACATCAGGATCGTGTAATCAAACCGGTACCTCAAATATATTATCGTCATTTATCTCTTTGTCACCGCATATTGACCATTTCTGTTTTCACCGTTGTCTATCTGTAAGTTGCAAATTTTCGATTTTGTTTTTTTGCCCATACACTTCACTTTAGGAGTTGATTTATTTGTTTGCTTTAGTGTTCTTTTCTTTTTTGGTTTCAAAGGTTCCTGATCTACATTCCTTTCTAATCCCATTCGCCTATAAGGCAAAGTGTAAATAAATAAATAAAAATAAATAATCCTCAGCATTTACACTTCTTTCTGCCACTACCTCCAATTTTCTCTTCTTTTGGGGTTCTCTAATTTTCATGGCTCCATAAAGCATTTCTTTTAACAATGTTAAAACACTATCATTCATAGCTTTTTTCTTTACTTCTTCATCCTCTTCTTGCAGAGGAAGCCTTGCTAGAACTTGGTTAGCATCTAATGG